AGTGTCTCTGAGATGGCTCGGCTTTAATAACCCTCTGCCCTCTGTCTTGTCTCTTTCTCTCCATCTCTCTGCCTGCCCTTTCACTCTGTCCAGTGATCTCAGCGAGAACCAGATTCAAGGGGTTCCCAGGAAAGCCTTCAGGGGAGCTGTGGAAATAAAGAATCTGTAAGTTGGCGCCACTTTCGAGACTCGTTGTGTGTGGGTGCGTGTGTACGTGTTTGGGTGTGTATTGTGTGTGTGTGTGTGTGTGTGTGTGTGTGTGTGTGTGTGTGTCTTGCCCCCATGTTTACTAATGTGTCTGTGCATCAATATTTAATTGCCTTAAATGTCATGTGCCTCCTGCTTGCTGTATTGACTGAACATTAATACCCCTGTGGATGTGTGCGTGCGTGTGTGCGTGTTCGTGTGTGTATGTGTGTGTACGTGTGCGTGCATGCATGCACTGTGGACTTAACTGGCATTTGTTCAATCTCTGTTTTGCCTCAATCAGAGTTATGATGATTCAAGATAATTGTTGGTGATTGTGGAAGGTAAAGTAATTTGCACAGCGGTCTTTTTGTAAATATGTATTGTTCAACAACAGATAATTTGGTTGAAATATTGTGCAATTATAATAAATGGACAAGAAATTGTCTGCGTGTATGCAAAGAGAGAGCGAGAGACAGGGAGAGAGAGAGAGAGAGAGAGTGTGTGAGAGGAAAAGGGTAATGCATATAAATGAAGCTTCATATAGAAGAAGAAGGAGCGCATAGAACAGGAGGAAACCAGCAATAACGTCTGCAAAGAACAAAGAGCTCTGGAGACAAAAGGCACTTGGTTTGACTTTCACCTGCATGTAGTCTTCTCTGCAGGGCATATTAGCATTTTAGAAAACACAACTTGTCTTTTTTGTGTGCGCATGTGTGCAGCCAGCTGGACTACAACCACATCAGCTGCATCGAAGACGGAGCCTTCAGAGCGTTGCGCGACCTGGAAGTACTGTGAGTCACAGTTTATGTAGGATGCTGTAGGTGCACACAACAGAACCTGCAGTTAAATTCATGCATGTAGTATATCCCGTTTGACCTCTATTGTCAATAAATTTAGAGTTGACAGGCAAATTATCATACGCGTATGTATTTTTAGTCTTGATCATAATAACTGAAGTTGGACGTTAGCAGATGGCTTTATGTTTCCCTAAACGTAGTTTTAATGCTGATATTAAAAAAAAAAAAATCTTTATTTTTTTTTTGTTATACATCAGGTTTTTGAAATATTTTCATTTTTGGTTCTTAAGTTTGACCTATAAAAGCCTGTGCAATCCAGATTTTATCAGATGTTGGAATTTATAGCCATGACGTTTCCAAAAAGAAAAAAAAACCCACCTGTTTGGCCAGTGTCATGTTCCTGGAGGCAAATACTGTGCTTGATTTGGTCAACGTCTAGATAATCTTAGAATCGTGGAAACCGAGACAAAAATAAATAAGGAAGCGACGTCAAATTGTAAAAGCCTTTCAAATGTGGATGTACTGGCTTGAACCATTGACAAATGCACCCTAATGCACAAGCAGATGAGACACATTAGGCGAGCTGTGACCAATGATAGGCATACTATCCTACTATGAATTTAAAACATATTATTGTGGTTTCGTTGCGATCTGTCTCGAAAGAACACACGGAATCAAGTCATGTGAGAGTTAATTGCGATTTTAAAAACAGAAAAAGTCATTAGTCTGTTGTCTTATATTGAATGTTGAGAACACAGCTAATGATTTGAGCTCTGTGTGTTCTCAAAGTGTCTTGAACTTTGACACGAGCCGGCAAAAGTCAAATTCTTCAATTCTGGTGAAGGTTTAATGGGATTTTTTTTTTTGAAGCGGGGGTGTTGATAGAGGATGTAATGATCAAACTTGTCAACCAAATGTACTAATCGTCGCATTAGTTGTGCTTTGGATATTGGCTTGCATGGGTTCTGCTGATTTTTTTTTTTTTTACGACTGCCTGAAATCATGCATGTGTCGGAAGGGCAGAATCTCGGATATAACTCTTATTATGGATGTCATGAGACTGTGCGCCGTTATATTGTGGATACGAGGCAGGCGTCGATGATGTCAGAAGGTGTTTGCCTAGGCTGACCACCAATCAGCGCAACGAGGCGGAATTTTATGACGCTGAAAAGGAAGTGGAAGGAGAGTGACGTTGTGCTCTCTCCTCAGCACCCTCAACAACAACAACATCAGCCGACTGTCAGTGGCCAGTTTCAACCACATGCCCAAGCTGAGGACCTTGTAAGTTACACCATAGAGTACACAACAGCAGCCCCGGTGCTATCTCACCCGGCTTGTTTGTACAATTGATTGCTTCATCTCACTTCTCCCCCATCGTGTACCTGCCTTTGCCTTTGCTGCACATCCTCAAATCTATTGTTTCTCTCCCCCCCTCCCCACCTTGCCACTTTTCTGCCCGTCCTCCCCGCTCCACCTCATACCCCCAGTCGCCTGCACTCCAACAACCTGCAGTGTGACTGCCACGTGGCCTGGCTGTCGGAGTGGCTGCGGCAGCGCCCCCGTTTGGGACTTTACACGCAGTGCATGGCCCCACCGCATTTGAGGGGCCACAATGTTGCAGAGGTGCAGAAGAAAGAGTTTGTCTGCACAGGTGAGTTGGATTATTAGCAACACAGGTTTGACTCGGATGTTTCGGGTTGCTTACCTGCACGAAGGCACAAGTATTTACTGTTGCTCTGTCCAATGCTTGGAAGGGGGAGTTGCTGGAGCCTAACCCAGCTGACTGTGGGCGAAAAGTGGGCTACACCCTGGGCACATGTAGACCATACTGCTGCCTGTTTCATTTTATTAAAAAAAAATGTTTCGAATCACTCCGTAGCACAGTGAAGGAGTGGTTCCTGAACAGTCTTCCCCCAAATTTAGTTTAACATTAGACTAAATTATCCATAGGTGTGAATGTGAATGTTTTTGTTTCTATACCCTGGGATCAACTGGCAACCAGTCCAGGCTGTACCCTGCCTCTCAAACAAAGTCAATTGGGAAAGGCTCAAGCTCACCCACACCCCTAATGAAGACAAATGCGACAGAAAATGGATGGTTGGACACACTGTAATAATATATTGATCCTTTATATTCTGCACAGTCAACAGAAAGAAACATAGTCAAATTTCCGTCCGTAGTGCAGATTATATGATGGCTGTATTGACTCTTCCATGCTCTGCACAAAAATGTTTGCTTTTTCTTATTGTCTCTTCCTTACTGTCTGTCCTTTTCAAGATGCGGATGAAGGCAAGTATTCAAGTTCCCATCGTATACCTTGGCTTCAACCACACACATTGCACCTGTGATTGGACCAAACATAATTAATACAGAATACAGGCATCTCTCCTTCACGTTCTGTTGTTCAGCTCTTTCATTCTCTTCTTTTTGGTTGAATTCCCATGATGGGGATTTATTGACAGGAGAAAAGCATAATGTTGAGCATGTGTCTCCGTTTAGGTTACCAGTCGTCGTCTTCGTCCTGCAGTGTGTTACAGTGTCCCGAGTCGTGCACCTGCAGCAACAACATTGTGGACTGCAGAGGGAAGAGTCTGACAGAAATACCTACCAACCTCCCTGAAACCATTACTGAGATGTAAGACTCGCACGCAGACACACTTCACTGCACATGAGACTCACGGGCTACTCTCAAATAACGTTCAACACATACTCAGCAATGGGGATAATTCTCTGCTCTTTCGCTACGTGCCGCTCTATACCAAAATGTGTCATCTGCGGTACACAGTTTTCGCTCACAGCTTGTCTCTCTCACTGCAGTGGAATAAAACCACACAACTGTGAAATGAGAAATCCCGGTCATGCAGCTCTTCTCTGATTAAAGACAGTAATGACGGCCTGAGCGAGAAAGAATTAAAAGCTCAATCTGAAGGACGAGGCAGATCATATCTTTATCTGAAAGCACGGCGCCTAGATTTAAAGTGGCAGAACCTGACTCGCGACTTGAGAAACCACTGGGGAGACTGACTGAGCTGTGAGCGGAAATCTCCTAGCCCGTATGAAATATGTGGAAGCTTAGTTCATGGGAACCCATTCTAAAGAAATGAATTTGGTGTTTAAGATGTGTATGCGAATGGTAACGAGCAGACTTGGAATTGAAGAGGAGAATGAATGAGCTGTGTGACATACATTGCCACGTGACTTGATTCACTGTCGAGCCTCACCACTGACGCTATAAACTCACGGGGAATAAGTCGACAGAATAGTTGCATTGTCCAAGTTCTGAGAATTTCTCCAGAACGCTAGCCTCAAATTTCAGTGTTTTCCATTTTTTACCCATAAGAATAACTGAATGGGAAATAATCATTGCACGTTAATCCAACCTGAATTAACGTGCAATGTTTAAAGCAAGGGTCACCCGGGTCGTGCCCGTGGGCACCAAAGGAGTCGATCCTTTGACGCTAGTTAAACGGAGGATTTGTATGGCTGATCCTGATTTCAGTTCAAACGCTAACATTTAATACAACGAGATACGCTTGCTGAAAAAGATGTCCGTGCTTTCGTTTGTTCAACCTCTGCGGCATTCAATGTGAGAGATGTCACTTAATATATTTTCAGTGACTGAATGATAACATTTTTATTGGCATTGGCCTGTGTCACTCTTGCCCGTAAAATGTGTCATCGCAATTACAATGACGTCTTATAAATGCTCATGCTTTGAATTCATTGTGGGGATTTAGGCTCAAAGATTAGGTCTGACTCAACAAGGCCCAAAAGGTAACCCATCTGTGACTTCTGTGGGAATTAGAAAATACTTGAACGGGACTCAGTTCAACTGATTTTATGTCACTGCTGTGCTAAAACGTGATTAGGCAAATAACCCTCTCTTGGGCATAGCCGTGAAACACCAAAGTCTATTTTGGCACATGGTGTGGTCTCAGACACGTCTCCAGTGATTTGTTAAAACAGGTCTTGTACTGGTACAGAGTTATTGTTGTAACACAATACAAAATAAAAGAATGCATACTTCAGTTTATGACAGGCAACCACGAATATTCCAGTGCTCTGATTGCAAGCACACATTTGGCGTCTTAAAACACACCACTGGCGTTTTGGAGCCATCGTTTTACCACTAATGGTCGGGGTGGTCAAAATTCATGACGATGGATCTAATAGCGATGATCTATGTGCAGAAATGATGAAAATAGGAGATGATTCCTTGCCTTTGTGGGATGAACTCTTGTTTCCTGGCTCCGCCGCCAAATCCGATCAAAATCATTCAAATCCGCTCCACAAAACATTTTCTTCCAATGAAAATAAAACTGCCATGGTGGAGGCACAACAGCGCCGTGAATGCACAGAAATGTGATGCAGTGTAAATGTAAAACAAACTCACTGGCAGGCAATATTTCACAGTCCAGTAGTTGGCTTGCAAATGGTAGCTCTCATCACAGTGATGCGAAATGTTTTGTAAATGCTCTGTCACTGGAGCCCCTCCCTAGACTTTGGCAGCCATCATCAAAGGGACTTAGAGTATCACAAATTATTTGCGCAATGCCGGCGGCCTCCAAAGCACCCTCCGTAATTAAGAATAGCGAAACAATTTTAATGTCAAATGATCATCCGTCAATGATCTGTGTATGTTTGGTTCCAGACGATTGGAGCAAAACGCCATCAAGGTGATCCCAGCCGGGGCCTTTTCTTCTTATAAGAAACTGCGAAGAATGTGAGTAGAAGGGGAGATGTTATAATAGCACTGACCTGTATTACAGTCATATATACACTGCTCTCCGATGCATTTTTTTTTAATTGCAAGTTTTTTTTTCACTATTGTGCTTTCTACAGCGACCTGAGTAACAATCAGATTTCAGAGTTGGCTCCTGATGCTTTCCAAGGTCTGCGATCCCTCAACTCTCTGTAAGTACTCACCATGTCGGACCTTTATTAAGCAATTGACGTGCATGTGTTTTGGCCAATCCAGCAGCCTCACTCACAAACATGCACTAATAAATAGCGGAGCAAGTTTTGGATGACTCACAAGCAATCGGATTGAACCCAGGGACAAATGTTTACACGGCCTGTCTGATAGAGGAGAATGTGACCTGGAATTGACTTCTAAATATTTGGAGTTCAGGCGGGGAGACTTCTCCACAATGCGTCGGCGTGTCAAGTAAACGCGATCGAGGCAGATATTTGATGGCTAATCTCCGTGGTCTTTTGAGGAGAACGACCTCATCGCTGGCCCAACGGTCAGGTTTGCGTGTGAAGCCGCGCAGAGGCAGGCGAGAGGGTGGGAGGCAATGCGGGGTTATTGTGTGAAGGAGTTATATTAAGATCTCGTCTCTCCAGAATCAATAATTCATAAATGCGGAATTGCTGAATGGAGGCTTCTGCCACCTCATTACACTTTCACCACCCAGCCGACGAATGGGACACCCACCTTCGTGCTGACACATCACTTACAGTACGACTCCGACATTAGGCTGCTGTACGCCTACATTGCGTGTTTTGTCGATTTAAATGAGCCATCGATTGTGTCTGTGCTGCGCTGTTTCCCAGCCTCAGGTTTCCCAGGGGTTGCCACTCAGCACAATGAAATAAAAAGACAATTGGAAACACATGTCTGTACACACGCAGCATCACGATAACTGCATTTGTGCGCTAAGGTATTTTGTTGAGCAAGGAGTTTGTGTTCTTGACCTGCGTGTGAAGTAAGCATAAAGAGTCTTTTTTTTTTTTCGATGACAGAGTACATTCCTCACGGCGTGATGGCCGGCAGATTTATAGAGGCTTTTGTTTCACCACTCAATATACTTTATGTCTTAAATATGTTGACGTGAATAGAGGGGTTGGCATGTTGTCAGAGCTTAAAATCCTGGAAATGGAAAAAAGGCTTCTTTATCAAGGGTTTTGTTTTGCCATGTGTTCTTCCCTGCGTGTTTTTGGTTGTGGTACCGTACTGTGAAGGGATCTTAACAAAAGGGGAGTTTGCATTTCTCAAACTGCGAGTAAGATTTGAATGTAGCCTCAATTCGCTCCTTGAGTCTCTGAACAAAGCTACCCCGCTCACTAACATGCAAGAAACATGCTTTGTGCGAACGTGCACGTGAACAAGCCAACCTTAGCGACGGCTGCGACATTGCTAGCATGACTTACTCATGATAAGAGTGCGGCAAAACACAAAGTGTTACCTGTTTGACGTTGAAGTTTTTGGAATGTACACTTGATTAAAAATCAAAAAGAATTGAGAATCTTACCTGTCGAGAAGATTCGCATTGGTACTGAATCCTTAGCATGTGGAACTCCACCTTTGAAAGACAACTTCTACATGTAACCGAGGTGAGCTAAAGTGCTTGTCGAGTAAGTGATTCACACTCCCTGATGCCTTAACGAGATCTTTCCATTTTTTGACTCCCATTTGAACTTGTGAGGACAGTTGTGGTGCGTGTTCAAAGCCCAGCGGTGGCTGTGGCTGGGCCACGCAGGATACAAATGTCACAAAGACTGAAAATGGGATTGTTTTTGCTATTTTAACACCGCCCTCAGTCAAAACAGTTGGGAACAGCACACATGAAATCCTCTATTTTGTCGGGCTTGCTCAATCATCAACTAGAAGTGTTGACAATAAAAATGTAATGGTCTTACCTGATGTTTACATGACAGGTTTGTGTATTTTGGCATTCACTTACTAAAATTATTGCTATTTTCTCGCTATGTTATGACATTTTTATGACATCTTTCTGTGAAGTTTAAGAGAGAAATAAAGGTGGATAGTGATGTTCATTTCTGCCAAAAGAGACCTTTTAGTAAGAGATGGATGTGAGTGGAAAATATGACGGTATATAACCAAAAATATAATAAACAACAATGTCTGATATGCTACTGAGGAATGCGAGTAAGTTAATTTCCCAGAAATAAACAGAGCGCTCCGGACAAGATCATATCTCGTGTTATGATTTCTTTTGGATGTGGAAAGGCTAGCGCATACTTCTGATGTCGAGTACTATATAAGCAACTAAAGAAAAACATTTATGAGACATTTTCAAGTGATAGTTTTGTATTTTTATACTAATTTAATACCTGGCAATGGACACGGTGAGCATATAGATGCTGATCTTGACATTGAAATCATCAAATCCCTGTCTCAATGAATTTACGAGTATGAATGGCAGACGATTTAATAACTGTCCCAGTGCCTTGATCACTCATGGCACGAGTGTTGCCTTTACCCTCCACCTTTATATGTATTTATTAATGTGGTTTCATAAGCATGTATACCCTTCTTATGTGGCTACGCTCATGATTCGCCAATCACATTGAAATTCATTTAAATGGGAGTCAGCACACACCTGCCACCATTTAAAGTGCTTTTGTTTAACCCCGAATAAAGTTCAGCTTTTCTTCTCGGCTTTTCCTCACATTTTTGCAATCACATCTTACAGCAGAAGTAATGAATGATCTGCAGACAGTTTTCACAGTATCGGAAAGCTTTCATTGTTCATAGGTATCAAATCAGGAAAAGGGTACCAAAGAATATCTGAGGTACGGTAGTATTCATACCATAAAACACCGGGAAGAAGGTCAACAGCAGGTGAGAAAAATACAGCAAAATCGTGACATTGTGGAGAACTGGCCATCCCTCCAAATTGATTTAAAGATGAGAAGAAAACTGGTCAGGGAGGCCGCCAACATACCGACAGTAATGTTGAAAAAGCTTACAAAGATTTCTGGCAATTACCGCCTATTTATGGCACGTGACAAAAACCTCCATCTTAAGTCTTAAACCTCCTTTTACAAAGGGAAAAAAAACACTTGAAATCTCCTGAACTCGTGTGGGAAAATGCATTATGGTCCAATGAAACCGAGGCTGAACTATTCGAGCCATAATTCATAAAAACGTTTTGGTGCAAATACAACTCTCCTGATCTCCTAAATAACACCACACTAAAGTACTGTATGGTGGTGACAGTGTCATGCTTTGGGGCTGTTTTTTCTTCATCTTAAACTCGGACCGTAGATAAGGAGGACAAGGAATTAGAACCAGTTGGAAATAGCAGTCGGTATTAGTAGAAAACCTTCAGGCTTCTGCTAGAAAGCAACAACACGCGAGGAACACCCGACGGGAACATCTGAACTCGATTTGGGAGTTATCTGACAGAGGCATTTTAATTGTTGGCAGTTGTTTGCTGACTCCTATGTAACATGAGTTTGAATTTGATCGGATAATCCTGAACACAGTCACATACGCAGTTATTGTATACACATGATTTTTTTTTTTTTTAATCTGCAAAATGTCTTTTTTGAGACTCGACTGGTACTCGTAAGAGAGAGCACACAACTGCTACTCTGGCATCCCTTCACTGGCTCCCTATATATGTTTAGTTCTTTTTAAGATCCTACTATTCGTTTTCAAATCTTTAAATGGCCTCTCCCCACCTTACTTCTCTGAGCTCCTCCACCCCTATGCACCTGCGCAATGTCTCAGGTCTGCGGACCAGACACTGTTAGAGGTGCCAAAAACTAAGCGGAGGCTCAAAGGGGATCAAGATTTTTCTGTTGCTGGTCCCTCTCTTTGGAATGACCTCCCACTGAACGTTTGTCAAGCCCCCTCGCTACCCATTTTTAAAACTTACTCTTTGGCTTTTGACCCAGCATGAGACTTGATTTTTAGTTTGACTGTTTTTGTGATTTCTACTGTCTTGGTTATTAATTTATGGTTTTATTATTTGTTGTTGGTTGAATTATTTTTGTTCCATGTACAGCACTTTGTATACAGCGGTGGTTGTTTTAAAATGTTCTATAGATACGGTTGAGTTGAGTTTTTTGTATCCATTGTAGATATACCGGTAATATACATCATCTTATTAAAAATCTGAATAATAATCTTTTTTTTTTTATGTGTGTTTGTTCTCCATAGCGTTCTGTACGGCAATAAAATAACAGAGATCTCCAAAGGGCTGTTTGAAGGGCTGTTTTCGCTGCAGCTATTGTGAGTAGACGCACATTCCCGCGTTTTTATTTGCATGCACTTTACAACTGAAATTCAGCTGAAATTGGTCATTGCGATGAATGAAATCGTCGCAGCTGACCTAATAACACGGGAAACATTCATTGGCGAATCATAACGGAAAAGGCCATCATTGTCATGATTCACCAAATTTCAATGCACCTTTCCTATCTTTCAGGTTACTGAATGCGAATAAGATAGCGTGTCTCCGTGTGGATGCCTTTCAGGACCTCCACAATCTCAACCTTCTGTCACTATATGACAACAAGCTCCAGACCATCGCCAAGGGAACCTTTGCATCACTGAGGGCCATACAGACGCTGTATGTCAACAAACTCTTACCGTTGAGCAAAACAAACTGAACACTACGCACTCGTAATTATCTCAAGTAGATGTGTAGGAATGTTTGGTTATGCAATACAATACAACTTTATTTATATTTCAGACCAGACTTGTGAGAATCGTCACAACAGCTGCAACTGGAACAAAGCACTTTACATATACAACTTAAAATCACAATAATGCGACAACAATGTGGAAAGAGTAAATTAAAACACAAAGTAATGATACCAACTCACATACACTCGACACCAGAATAAAAATGTGGCAAACTCGTTTGAATAATAAAAATATGTTCAAACGAGTTTGAAAAATGGACAGCATTTAAATTAAATGGAATTTAATTTTTTGTGGCATTTTATTTGGAAAAAAATGGTGGGACTATTACAGGCTTTCTGTGATCTGGATTTTGGACCCTATTGAGTTAAAAAAAAAAAAATAACCAATCACCAAACCGATTAGAAGATGGACCATTCCATATAATCCATTGAAACAAACTTCTTTACTCAAACTGCAGTCAACCCCGCTATTCACCGAAGATTGGCACTGGACTGTCTTTACAGATTTGCATATAATTGGACATGCAAGAAAATATACTCAAAAGCCTGCACCAACTAGAGTATTGATACACAATTATTTTCGAAATGAAATCACTACTCTGTATTAAATAGAAAACAAGTAATCCAAAACAAGTATAGTGGCATCCGCCAATACTTTGTGCTTATATCATGTAACACAAGTACATGATATGATTCACAAACCTTTGCAGGCCAACCTTTAACCTTTTGACAGCTTTCATGAATTGTGTATTGATGCTTAAGTGCACTCTGTGTGTGTGTGTGTGTGTGTGTGTGTGTGTGTGTGTGTGTGTGTGTGTGTGTGTTTGTGCACGCGCGTGTGTGTGTGCCGCAGACATTTAGCTCAAAACCCATTCATCTGTGACTGCCACCTGAAGTGGCTGGCCGACTACTTGCAGGACAATCCCATCGAGACGAGCGGCGCCCGCTGCACCAGCCCTCGGCGGCTGGCCAATAAACGAATTGGACAAATCAAGAGCAAGAAATTCCGCTGCTCAGGTACGAATGAACACACAACGTGACAGACCTCCGGGGTTCATTGTTCTTCCTCTGACTGAACATTCACCCACGCACACGCGGGCAATCGTGATATTCAAACTGACAAGCCCAACCCCCCCGCCCTCTTGCTCTCATACTGTTTCTTCCTGCTTGGGATTTTCCCTCAGACTTTTTTTCTGTCAATGTACACACACACACACACACACACTTTTTTGAAATACAGTCATCATTGTGTTGTTTTCTTCACCTTTACTCTCTGTTTGTTTCCCTGCAATAGCTAGAGAACAATATTTCATCCCAGGTATTGTACATCAAGCATGTGTGTACGTGTGAGAGCGGAGTGTGTGTCAGCCCCTCACGGAAAAGTCCTGCTTTGGAGTGCCTTGCTTTCACTACCTTTCCAATTCTTGGCGCAACAGTGCACATTTTTCACACAATGGTGCAACTTATGCTACGTCCACATGTATGCAAATACTGCGTACGTTCCCCACCATTATTATTCCAAAAGAAGCATTCTTTCCATGTGAGCTTGCAATTTCTACCAGTTAACTGCTAACTGACTTATCAGAAGCCTGAAAACGCAACACTGGCCCTTCTGTTCCTCAACATCATGAGGAATAAGATTGTGTTTGTACTTATGTGGCCTTATGCTAAACAACTTTATTTTTTAATATTTTTTCTTGAACAAGTTAGACTTTATTCTCATAATATTAATACTATACAGGTCAGCGACTGTCCACCCCAGGCCATCAATAGGAATCGGCGCTTGTTGGTCGTCGCCCACTCCCCATAATGGGTCGATTTCTTTGATTTTTACTTTTGCCCTCATAATCTTTTCTAGTTTTCTCCCTCTAAATGGAGATGTTCAAAAGTTTTTTAGAAAGTGTGTTTTTCAAAAGCTTAGTTTTTATTTCCCAAGAACAATTTCTGTGTGGAAGAAAAGTCACACTGAATGGAAATATGTGCATTTTTTGTTTCAAAATGGCTGTGTTTGTGTGAACTCACGTTTGAAAGCATCCGGAAATTATCACATGCAGTATTAATCACACTTATTGCACCCATTCTAATGACAATCGTGACAATTTCCTTTGCAAACTTTGCATGCCAGACTTTCTGCACACGCACGTGGACCCGTGGAGCAATTACAAAAACTTTTTTAACCAGCAGCCCACTTCACAGGCACAAATGAAAAGACGTCACGGCCGTATATCAGCTTTGGCTCTTTTGTCGGCTGTGTAACATCAAAAGGTCGCACGCTTGCCGTGCACAGAGGGGTGCTGGGAAATATGCAAATCTGACATCAGTTGTAGAGATGCTGCTGGTGGTCATTACTGCAGCATTCAGCACAGAGAGTGCAGTGTGTGAGTGTGTGTGTGCGTGTGTGCGTGTGCGCGTGTGCGTGTGTGTGTGTGTGTGGTTTGGGGGGGGGGGGCACGCGTGCTCGTGCGTGTGATGTAAGTGTGTTTTCACTGCAGTCATTACTGTAACTCTGAAGCTCAGCCGGGGAACAGAACCAGATAACACACGCAGAGAAACGCTGAATATTTTAAAATTGAAAGTTTACTAACCATTCAGACAGATCATTATGAATACAATCCTTATATGCGGCACAATATTTTTAATTCCGTTGTTGTTAGCGGTTTCAATCATTGAAATTCTGCATGTTGTGAATCATTTCACTCGGTTAACTTGTTAAAAGCAAAACGTTGTGCAATGCTTGCACGGAAGTGTGTGTGGATTCGATACATCCACACAATTGAAGCCGAGTCTATCCAAGAGTTGTATTTGATTGAAAGGCAGCTGTACATTGAGTGAAAATGTTTATTTTTGTGGTTGTAGAGCAAGCGAGTCAGTGTGTGTTGGATGAAAGTGTCATGTTTTGCCAACACACCCACACGTTCAAATGAATTGCCCGAAACAAAAATAATAATGAATGAATGAATGACAGAAAATCCCTGCCTGTAAAAACAAACTGAGGCCAAACTTTATTTTCTCCGCTTTTTATCAGTCTGCTTCCTGCTTGAGTGAATAAGTAAATTCCCTTCTTCTCTCCCTTGTCCTGCCTCTCTCACACACTCAGGAGTACACCATGTCGGCTGTAAGTAACACGCACACACAAAATAGACGCCATTTGGCGTCAAAACGCACCTTACTCTGTCCTTTGACCTGACCCCTGTGCCTCCCCGTGTACGTTTATAAACAAGATGAAGGTGGCCCAAACATGCAATGGTTCATCTATTTTTCTGTGTGTGTGTGTGTGTGTGTGTGTGTGTGTGTGTGTGTGTGTGTGCGCGTGTTCCTAGAAGACTGAGCTTCACTTGGTTTCAATGGCGCTGTAACCCTCTTCCCACTCCTACAATCTCTTCTACTTTCTGTTTCTTGTACCTGTGAATCCAGACGTCTTTCTGCATTCCAGAGTTTGCTTGTCACGCCTGCTTCCCAGTTCCGACTTCCTCCCCCTCCTCCCTCCATCCCTCGTCCCCTCTTTCTTTCCTTCTTGAACTCCTTTCCTTTGCATTTCTACCAAACTGACTGGCGTCTCCTCCCATCGCTCTCTCTTGACAAGACGATTCTCACAAGTTTGGTCTGAAAACAAATAAGTGGAGATGGTGGTGAGATTTGTCAATGCTGCCATGATGCTTTATCGTCCTAAAACTGAAATAAGAATAAGGAATTGAACCTTAATTTTTGTAAGTGCACCGATTTTTAATTGGGCAATCGCACACCAATTTCCATCGACCCTAATTGAATTGAATCTATGTAGCGGAATGTTTTTTGCCACAATGTTATCATACAAATAATTCGATTCATAAAACTCTTGTGTTAGCAATACTGTACAGTGGAACCTATTTGACCATATTTATTTTACGATGAACTGGAGGCATGACACCAGTTGTAATCAAAGCATCTCACTGTTCCAACATCCATCCCCAGGGCACATTAAAATTGGCCTTGTGACACAAATTTCTGTGCAGAATTTCTTTTTTGGGGGGGGGCTAGCAAACTTTGTGGGGAAATGACTCTTCCTGTTCCTCTCCTTTCCCTTCCTCCCCCTGTTCTTGGCTCGCTGCCACTCCCCTCCCCATCCCGTGTTCCAGCGGAGGAGCAGTCAGTCAGCAGGTTGTTCCTTTGTGCTTGATCTAACCATGTGGCTGCCAGGTTCCTAAAAGTGGAACATGGTTCTGTCAAGCACCATGGAACGGCCCTGCCAATCCCTACAGCATGGCCAAGGTGCAAGACACAGCAGTCTGTCTCCCACAACCGTGTGTGTGTGTGTGTGTGTGTGTGTGTGTGTGTGTGTGTGTGTGTGTGTGTGTGTGTGTGTGTGTGTGTGTGTGCGTGCGTGCGCGTGCGTGTGCGTGAGTGTGTGACACGAGCGCCAACAAGCGCAAGCATTTTGATTTAAACTTCTGTGTTTGACAGGGTGGAACGAGCTTTGTATGTATGGGAATTTTTGTTGACTTTCGAGGCGATTACCGGTCAATGCTGGGGTTTGACTCTCGCATGCTGGTCTTGCTGGCAGCTCAAGTGACACTCCGCTTGCGATTGTAACCAGGTACGGAGGATTACCGCAGCAAGCTGGGAGGGGACTGCTTCGACGACCTGGCCTGTCCCGAGAAGTGCCGCTGCGAGGGCACCACCGTGGACTGCTCCAACCAAAAGCTCACCAAAATACCAGACCACATCCCTCAATACACTGCCGAACTGTGAGTCACTTACAAAGTGCATCCATCACCATGTGGCTTTCCGAAGAGATTGCATCAGCCTTCATCTCCTTCTCCTTCTTCCCTGTGGTTCTCCTCTCAAGCATTTCTGTCTCTTTTTCTCTCTCTCTTTCCCCTCAGGCGTCTGAACAACAATGAATTTACTGTCCTCGAGGCGACAGGGATCTTCAAAAAGTTGCCCCATCTGAGGAAGATGTGAGTCAGGCATGTCGCGAGTCTAACTGGAGCATAGTAGCAATACAGAAGTCACGTACAGGTCATGAAGAGAAAACAGTCGTCTTTGCAGAGGCTTACTTCCTCATCTCTCTCGAATGTTAGCTGGTTTTCCCCCTGTTTGCGCCCTCAAATGTCTCACATGGCTTTTATGTTTTCTTTGCTCTTCTTCTGCTCCTCCTACACAAGTAATCTGAGTAATAACCGCATCACTGACATCGAGGAGGGCACTTTCGAAGGAGCTTCAGGGGTCAATGAGCTCATTTTGACCTCCAATAGATTGGAAAATGTACATCACCGCATGCTGAAAGGACTCGGTGGCCTGCGCACACTGTGGGTATACACGCGCGCACACACACACAAGCACACGCGCACACACATTGTTGCATTTGCAAATTCACCATCTGGATAGAAGGTTTCAATACAACTCTTAATCAATTCGTCAATTATAAAAGGATGGAGCCCTTGTTCCAAATTGAACCTGAATTCTTCATCCTCCCTTACTTTGATGTTTGACGACTCGAAGACTCGATGCGACATTTTATTTATTTTTTTCCTACTAAAGATGTACCCCAAAAACATTTTGGACAAATCTATCCTTCCTCTTTTGTGGGAACATTTGGGAGGAAGGCCCTTTTTTGTTCCCAGTGTGCATAGTAAGGTCCAAGATGTCTGGTTTGGATGTGTTTGAGGAAGCCCTGACCACTACACCATCAAATACACTTCTCGTGAAAAGTATATTCGGCTTTCGGGTGAAGTATATTTGGCTTTACTGAAAGATTAAACAGTTGGACATGCGGATTAAAAAGTTTACAGGCCTAATTAAGTTCGAAAATGAATATAGCACACTTTTTGCCCCGAATGATCGACAACAGTGATTCTCAAATTGCAGTGGTACACTAACCGGCGGCCGCCCTTACATCATCCGCAAGCGGAGAGCTTCTTGCAGTAGCTTATAAACACGCTTCGTTCGCATCGATCTCCTACAAATGCCCATTTGTAACTATCCAAAAATACCAAAAGATGTGTTGATACTGTGTAACAAATCCAGTCAGAATATTTGATTGTACAAATGTTTAAACAGCCATTTTAAACGAGTGTGTGTGTGTGTGTGTGTGTGTGTGTGTGTGTGTGTGTGTGTGTGTGTGTGTGTGTGTGAGTAGCATGCTGCGCAGTAATCGCATCAGCTGCGTGAGCAACAGTAGCTTTGTGGGTTTGAGCTCTGTGCGTCTGCTGTCGCTCTACGACAACCAGATCACCTCGATGAACCCCGGCGCCTTCGACACACTGCACTCTCTCTCTACTCTGTGAGTACAAACAGTAAATGTCAAATACATAAAGGAACCAAATAAACGCTTGACTGGCCACCTTCGAATCTCTAGCAACCTTCTGGCCAATCCGTTCAACTGTAACTGTCATCTGGCCTGGCTTGGCGATTGGCTGAGGAGGAAACGCATCGTCACGGGCAACCCTCGCTGCCAGAGTCCTTACTTCCTGAAAGAGATCCCCATTCAGGATGTCGCTGTTCAAGACTTTGCTTGTGAAGACGGTAAGATGGAGCGAGAATTGATCTGCATCTCTGGCGGATATTCTTGATTAGCTTGTTTCTGTTTTCCTCTGCAGAGTTGGGAAGATTCATTTGTCAGTGTAATTAGTTACAGTTACCCTGTTAAGAATGTCATAGTAGCGTCACTACTTCACGTACTTTCTCAAAGCAATTTAACTCATATGTTTTGATTACTTTTTGATTATTGTTGTTTTATTATTTGGTATAACTGTTAAAGATTTTCCCATTTTAAGGCATGATGGTACTCATGCTATTTGTCGTGGATACGTTTCTCTTAGCATACATTGCAAATCAGAGAGATACAGTAAGTATAAAAAAGTAATGTAAATAGTTGCCGCAGTAAGTGTGTGTGTGTGTGTGGGTGTGTGTGTGTGGGTGTGTGTGTGTGGGTGTGTGTGTGTGGGTGTGTGTGTGTGGGTGTGTGTGTGTGGGTGTGTGTCTGTGTGTGTGTGTGTGTGTAAGACTAGTGTTCAAATAAAGCCCCTGTCCTTCCTCTGGTCTCCCTGACTGTCTCCATCAGGTAATGATGACAACAGCTGCTCTCCGGTTCTGAGGTGCCCGGCGGAGTGCTCGTGCCTGGACACGGTGGTGCGCTGCAGCAACAAAGGTCTCACCACTCTGCCCAAAGGCCTGCCTAAAGAAACCACTGAGCTGTGAGTGACTTCATTGATTGTACAGTGTATTGCAGACTTTGCGACAGGCCCATTTATCATCGGTCAGCCTGTTAACATTTCATGAGATTCAGTTTGGATGTCACTCTACTTTTTTTCATGATGTCCAAAATGCCACATAATGATAATTTCATGTCTTTAATTAATATAACATACTTGCAAACTCCACAAAGGAAGGGTGAAGCTGGAATTTGAACCCCAAACTTTCGAAGTGCATGTCAGACGTGATAACACACCATCCTGCCTCGCCTAAATTATCAGCGCAATTAGGCAAAAACTGTGAGGCATTTCATCATGCCATTTCTCATTATTAACATAAGTGATTCATATTATGGTTTGATAAGAGAAGGGCACTATTTCAGCTTGATGCATGTGTGTGTGAAATCAAGCTGGGGAGACAGTTACTGAACTCTAATAGGATGCCGGTGGGAATATTAAACTCTGGTGTTTATTATGGCTCGTGCTGAAATGACTGCACACTCTGCTGGAGAAGAGGAATTTACCACATGATTAAATAACGTTTTTCTTTCTGCTCATTTGCTCTCTTTCTCTCTCTCTCTCTCTCTCTCTCTCTCTCTCTCTCTCTCTCTCCTTCTCTTTCTCTCTCTCTCTCTATTTTTTATCTCTGTCCGCCTGTAAGGTATCTGGATGGGAACCACTTCACTCAGGTTCCTGTGGAGCTCTCCGATTACAAACACTTGACACTCATGTAAGTGTCAGTGCTCGCATTCCACATTTACATGGAGGCCAAAACTAACCCAATGGTATTTTGTCAGTGATCTGTGCTGTATCACTTGGAATGCATGCACAACTGAGTGAAGAATAGAATTATATTCCGCATAAGGATTTTGCATTTGCTGAGGCATGTGTTGACAGAACGATGTGTGTCTGTGTGTGTGTGTGTGTGTGTGTGTGTGTGTGTGTGTGTGTGTGTGTGTGTGTGTGTGTGTGTGTGTGTGTGCGCGTGTGTGCGCACTTGTTATTGTTTCCTTTTCAGTGATTTGAGTAACAACCAGATCAGCACGTTGTCCAACCACAGCCTCAGTAACATGTCCGAGCTGCTTACCCTGTGAGTCTGGCTTTACATCAACCCCTTTGCCGTGCGTGCGTGCGTGCGTGCGTGCGTGCGTGCGTGGTTTACAACTTCATACAGCTAAAACCCCTTCTAATCGAGTGATTATAAAACAACAATTAAGATTCATGACAACTGATAAGAACCACGTCAACCAAAAAGGCATGCATGTTTGTGTGAGTGCGTTTGTGTGTTTGTGAGTCATCAATATCTATTTCTATCCAGATCAAAGTGGACAAGAGTGCAACTAAAAGCATAATACCTCTTGCTGGAAATAACGCCCCCCCCCCAAAAAAGTTGTTTCTTGTCCCGGGTCTGTGCTCATCTCTCCGTGCCAACATGTTTTATTTGTGTCGGAAGAATCCTGAGCTATAACCGTCTGCGGTGCATACCAGTGAGGGCCTTCGACGGACTCAAGTCTCTGCGCTTGCTGTGGGTATCATCAAAGTTGAGCTGCAGTACAACGGAGCCAGACATTTCTCACGAAACTCTTTTTCTCAGGTCCCTCCATGGAAACGATATTTCGCTCATACCAGAAGGAGCCTTCAAAGACCTGTCATCACTTCCACACTTGTGAGCAACACACACACACACACACACGATTGCAGTTGTAGTCTGCAGTGGATGAGTATAAAACTGCACTGCATCATCTCAAGAGCTGTTTCCATCGCACCACTAACATAGGCATGGCTGCCCGCCATCATCGTATCATAGCATTTGATAAACCACAATGAAAAGAATAGTAAAGATGTGAAAAAATACACGCAAGGAAATAGAAACAACATCGCAAAAATTAAAATGAGTGAATCTCAACAGAAGTGTACACACAATCCTGAGACCTGCAGTCTGCCTTTCGTGACCTGCCAGTGGAGTATGTATAGAAAAATATTTGATATAATGACTAATTTTTCAGTATTTCAACGATAAGTTAATGCTGGGTCCACAATTTTTAATAATGTAAACGTCAAAAGATTATGCAGGGGTAGCTTCTAAAGGGGCCGCCCAGTGTGTTATGTCTTCCTGCAATTAAACTCGCAACCTCTCACCTCATTGTAATCAAGAATGAGATTTGGCAACATCCACAACAAAAGATAGTTTCTCATTACGCAAAAAGCAACTTGACAAGCACATCGCAGCCACTTTTCATACATTTTGATTTATAACCTTGCTATAGTCCTAACTTGTATTCCGAATATTTGTCATACTCCCGAGACAGTCTCTCTCTTCCTCAAAATAACGCTATAAAATCATTTTCACTATTAGCACTTGTCATTTATTTCCGTGCGATACAACACGGGATATAAGACTCTAAAAAGTGAACCCCAAATCAAACGAAAACACGCCCCGGCTTAGAGTGTGCGTTTCCGTGACAGGGCTCTGGGCGCAAACCCTCTGCACTGTGACTGCCACATGCAGTGGTTGTCCGACTGGGTGAAGAGCGGCTACAAGGAGCCCGGCATTGCCCGCTGTGCAGGGCCCGGCGACATGACCGACAAACTGCTGCTCACCACGCCATCCAAGAAATTCACCTGCACAGGTACGCGGAATGTGTGCTGCTTACTCTACTTTCAGCAGCTCGTGTCAGG